ATTCGATATTTTAGTGGCCAAGTTTTCATCGATTTAGTCAACTCTTTATTGTAGTCCATATATGATTATATACTTAATCCATGATAATTCTATGATTTCTTTTGTGTGCTGCAAATTTAATGGTCAACATAAGTTCATACATGGAAAGAACATCTCAATATTCATAAATTGATGAAAACAATGAAAGTTAATAATGTAGTACCCTCATTTCTTATTGGATTCTTAAAAAAAACATTTCCAATGAATTTTAATATTATTTTTTGAATTTTTTTAAGGCTTAATTCGAGCCATTCGGCACGATTTCCGATTCGGATCTCCAATTCATCGATCAAAATTGGTTTTTGGGATGCCCGATTCTGGTCACCGATCCGTTTTTAAACCGCTGGATGCAGACAAGAGCAACATATTTTATTGTTCTTGTATTCTCTTTAAGTTAGCATTTATGAAATGTGAAGCTAATGGTGTGGCAGATGGGCGTGGTAAGTTCGGTGTTTCTTTGTTGTCTTTACTTGTTTCGTCTGCTTTAACTCAGAGACTATAATCCCATGTCGTTTCAGCATTTTATCGATAATAGCTCATAACATCTGTCAAAACAATAAAAAGGCTAGAAAATACATTTGTTTTTATTTTTTATTGGATGTTTATGTTTATCTAAAATTTAGTAAATGGGTGTTTTTTTCTACAGGGGTGCGGTTTGTATAGAGCCGAGGCTCTAAACAATCAAAGTAAAGCGCACCTTCAAATGGTATCGAGAAATGTAGTTTTAATATTGGAAATCTTTGTGACAGCTTTAAAATATATTTTCATCTTTAATTATAAAATTTAAAGCTTAAAAAATAGTGTAAATCAAGTAGATATCTGAAAACATAAAAATCTTGAAAATTGACAGTCCAAAAATGTATGATAAGATGCACTATTTTTAAAACTTAAAATCCATTTCTTTTTCTCATGTCCATGCATCTTGATGTCAACATAATCAATTTGAGGATATTTGGGAATTCAAACAACCTCTTTTAATGAAAATTTTGAGGTGGGTTCTAATTTAATCATTTAGATCTTGGGCTCTATATAAACTTTTTCTTTTTTTTATATGGTTCACAAAATAAAAATAATAAAACTATTTTTAAAAACGTGACTGGAATACCCCTGAAAGATTATGGGTATTCTTTTAAATAGTTTTATTAATTTAATTATGTTCGCCATATAAATTGTACATCTACTCAACGAATTTCAAATAGGTATGATTTTTAATTAAAAAAAGAAGAAGAGATTAGATGATGCTATGTTAATTTGTACCATTAAATAGTGCATTTGCACACATCAAGCATCAAATAACATCCCTTTTAAATTATGTGGAAAGGTACGTTGGTCTAATTTAATGAAAAAATCCGTTACCAGAAATAAGATTGGGCAAAGTCACCTGGCATTCCGATAGAGTGCCTTAAGGCTGGACATAGCAGGTAGGAGTGGCCATGGGTCGGGTCTGGTCCAGGACTTAACAGGATTGGATCCAAAGTTATCGGACTCGATTGGACCCCATCCAAAATAAATAATATATATATATATATATATATATATATTTCAAATATTATATTAGATATATCCAATGTATTATTTAAATATTATAGCTAAAATATATAATTATATTTATTTAAATATTAATTAAATACTACATTAAAGTTTATATATGGGTCGGGTCCGGGTTGGGTCCACATGGACCCGGACTTGAATAGTGTTTGGGTCTAATATTTCGACCCGACCCGCTGGGTCCAAATTTTAGACCCATACCAGGACCCGACCATTGCCACCCCTAATTGCAGGGCAGTGATTGTGATTCTACTATTCTAGAATTAGTTATTCAAAATTTGGACAGGCCACGACCCAGGGCATTTCTGAGGTCCTGAGTCCAGCATTTACTTTGTTATCCATTGAGAAATAGACCCTTGTTTTAATTCATGATTCTGTTGTGCACGTAAATATAAAAAAGAAAGAAAGAAGAGTTTTTAAAGAAAAATAAGTTAAATAAGCAGTCTTATCATAGAAAACTTAAAAATATTTGCAGTTTCCTTGGGTAGAGAATTTGAGACCACACGTTGTCATTAGGTTATTGCCACTCTCATGAATATCTCTCTTGTGATCAAATGCCCTTTATTTTCATGTTACTGCATATTTTGTCCCTCATTGCAATTATTTCATAAAAACTTTGGCAAATTTTTGGCTCATACATTTCTAAACCTCATAGCGCTAATCTGCTGGAAAAGTAATTTCACACCTGGATCTTTGTCAAGGGGTCTAAATTCGTTAAAACGATACAAATACCTTGCAATTGTTTCATTCTTATCAACACTCTGTTGAACGCATTTTGTATTACACGGCAATATATTACTCTTCAGGCTGTTTCTTTCAGTTTTTATTGATCCAATTGCAGCTTCATTAGCACCAAATAAACTATCCTGTCAATTAAATAGAGCATCACGTCATTTATAAAGCGTTATAAAACGTTCTATCTAGATGGCATAAGCAGATTATCGGGAACACTGCTACATGCAATGTTTTTGAGTTTTCTAACACGTAGATTTCACCTTAAAAAATTCGGATGCTCTCTATTAAATCTTCAGAAATTAATTTTTTCAAGTTCATAGATTTGGAAAACAATTTCTTTTGAGATTAATCTAGGGGTTGATGAGATTACATTTCCAAAATTTGGGGGCCTAAAATTGCTCCTATACTAGGTTTTTTCTGACGGAGTAAATGAAAAGTTACGCATCTGCAAGAGCATGACATATTAATACGATGACACCATTTACCTTTTATACAAGATGGTCATAATTACTTATAACCATCCTATGTAAAATCTGATAGCTTGGATAAGTCACAAAGTTTGAAAAAATTGCTTTTAAATTTTAAGCTTGGTCAATACAATAAATGTAGCCTCTAAATTTTACATCCAACGGTCAAGTTTAATTGTAACCACATTATACCTAAGATAAATGGTCTCATTGTATACGTTTCCTTTTTCTTTTCTTTAATCGGATTTCTCCGAGTCTCTTCGGGAGGAGCATGAAATCTTTTGGCTGTAATTTATAATATGTCTAATCGCCAATACTTTTGAATGTCATCCTTTTTCTTGGCAACATATACTCTATTTTTTGGACAGGGCAATGCCCGTTATCATCATGACAGTGACTACAATATTGAAAGACATTCTTTTCCCCGAACATTGGGTTTACAATTCAAAATATACGATAGAATTTGGTTTTCTCCTTGATCCTGCTCGCAAGATCGAGGATATACCTTTTTGTGTTTTTTTCTTTTTGAAAGAAAGACTGTTTTGTATTTATGAATGAAAACTTACAAAGAAAGAAGTTAGAAAAAGAAGCATAGGTCACCCACAGGCTGGGTAATCCTTACAGCTCTCAAACAATGGGATCCAGGATACACTTTTTCAACAGAAAAATGTAAGAAATTGCATAAATAAGTGAACATGAGAATGGTTTTCCAAAAATTCAAGAACAAAATCTCCAACAAACTGAACCAGACAGCACAGAATAAATTTCTCAAAATTCGTCAAAACGGGCACCCATGCTTCCAAATTATGTTCACAATTCAAAGGTAGTACCACCAGATCCACGCCCCTTCGCAAAACATTTAAGGTTGAAGGGGAAATGTGTGACATCAGGGAGTAAATGGAAAGTAAAGACGTGTTAGGTATAACACCAGAAAGGAAACACACTCGCTCCTGTTGATGTGTGTATAAACCATCATTGATGCAGCAAATCATACAAGAATAAACGAACTCCACAGACTATCTATTACATAAGATTCCAACTTCTACCTCAGTTTTCTTGATGTGGAAGATCAGCTTGATATACCTATTATATAAGACGCCAACTTCTACCTCGGTCTTTTTGATGAGGAAGGTCAGCTTGATATTGATACTGAAACAGACGATCCACAGTCTATGCACATCACAGCAACAAAATTTTCAGGCCGAGAGTAGACAAAAAACAAGGTTTTCCTTCTTGAGGGAAGAAGATATGGGGTAGGAGGGGGAGCTGAGATAGCAAGACCACAATTTGGGAGCACCAAAATATAATATAAGTAAGAACAAATCAAAGAAGGGCGCAATGCAATGACTTCCTCCAATCCTAAGGCCACAACCTCTCCCATGTGCAAACTTTAACAAAAGAGGGTGAACAGTTAGTCGCTCCTAAACATCTGAAATCTTTTCTCTACCCAAAGCCCCAAACTATCTCGCAATTTGAGGGTTATGTACATTACAATACAAGGACAGCAGAGAGAGAGATAGAGAGAGAGAGAAAGGAACCCCTGCCTCCTTTTTATCCTCTGATTCTACTGAGATGGCGATTCTTCTTGACCCTTGACATTAAGGAATTTTCATTTTACATGGCCTTCGATGAGAGGGGGCTCAGAAGCTTAACTTGAAAGATGGCTTTAAGTCTCAGCTTCCTGTTTGCTAGCGGACATTGTCGGCAGGGCCTTGCCCACATCCCTTTACTCTGTATCTCTCAAACACTTTCTCCCGGTTCTCTGACCACCATGTTGCCGCCTGTGCTTCACCAAACCTTCTCCGACTGTAAATAATTCAACCCATTTCATTCTTCAGAAAATGATTAAAAGAAAGTGATGAAAGATAAGCACTAAGGTAGCAAACATGGGTATGACTTCAAGAACCCAATTGCATGAATGACTCGGAAGATCATAACAATATGAAATGAAATTGTCTCGAGGTATGGATCCAGCCCAGCAAGCTATATGTGTGTGTATAGCAAGAGAGAGAGAGAGAGAGAGAGGGTCGATTCATCAGTTTACCTGAACCTCACTCGCTTGAGATCTCTGGTTCCATCCCGAAGCAACACAAGGGTTATATACACACCGGGTTCATATTGCTCAATCCTTTCTTCCTCCACTTGATCACTTCCCATAGATGAAGGGTTTCTGAGCTTCGAACCATATTCACCTTTCTCATGGGGATCCTGTTCTTTTGCATCAGCATCAGTTGATCTACTACTAGTCGAGATCTTCGCATCATTGCCATTTTGTGACCTCAAGTCTAAATTTTGATGCTGCAATCTGTGATTTACAATATGATAAGTGGTTTCACTTGCCCCATGAGCATCACTAAATGGATGATTTTGGCTAGAAAAGCCATTTGTGGTGCCAGAGTCTACTCCAGTTGGAAAAGGCAAGGTCGAAGCTAAGCTTCCATGACTAGCTAGTAAACTTTCTTCATGCAATTCTGAATGTTTTGAGGCATCTGGTTCAATGCCATTAGGTAGATATACTGGCCTATTATTGTAGGTATCATAGACCCCAGGTGGAAGCCTTTCGGCCATATCCTTCAGCTGGATAGCATAAAAAGGTAGTCGGAAAATGAACAATTAACATAGAAAATAGTTGAAAAAACATTACCAAAACTTTTTCTTTCTAAATGATAAATTGTAAATCAGAAACCGTTCTACAGAATTGAGACAGTACATCAGCAGTGAGGAAGTAATCAGCTATTTGAAAGCTGTGACACATGGATTAGCAAACAACTGCAGAAAACAATAAGATGATCCCTATCAACAAATAGTGATGACATGGAAATCAGAAAAGAGTAAACTCAATCTCACAATATTTATCTTGTGTTTTTAAACACTAACTTAAATATTAAAGGACTAACAATTATTACTGGGAGAGCATAACCCATTAGATTCTTCTATTACATCCTCTCACTGGGCCATGGGCGGCATTTCAATTGGTTCAAGACTCGCATTTCAATTGGTTCAAGACTCTCAACAATGCAAACCTTCAAGAACTCTCCCCTACTTTAGGGCATATCTTGCAAACAATGACCACGACCACCACTATTAGGGAGAAAAGCAATTTCTCTTTAGCTCTCAGGAACCAATGGCCCACTGTTAGCCTCTACATCCTTCCCTACTTGCCCAGTGAACCATAACTTCATTGAGCAATCCACTACTCAAAACTTAAGAATTAAAAAATGGCCAGAGAAGGAGATTATTGGGTACAAATGGAAGTGTCCAACCCATAGATATGTCCATACAAAACAATTCTGACTGGTACCACTTCGAAGTTCAAACCCTAAACCTTAAATCATCAAAAAAGAAGAAGAAAAGGAAATCAAAAAACAAATCTCAGGGTGCCACTAGTATCCGTTTCTCAATTTTGTCTTTAAGTATAGATAGAAATGCATAATTAGAAAGTTAATGGTATAAATCAAGGAGAAACCCAATAGGTTCATGCGCAACTGGAAACAGTTTCTTTCTACAAAGCATTTGCCAGCAATATTAGATCAGTTTAGTAAAAGTATTCAGGCACTAGAAGTTAACCAAAAGATTTGCAGAATGCCATTTAACGAGATGATGTCCTATTTGTAACTTTCTACTGAAAAGTTAAACCAACTTTAAACAGATGAAAAACAACTGACCATCATGTAGAATGAAAGACCTAAAGACAAACTTCATTCATACAGCCAAATGTATTAAATAGTTGGCAGTACACTTGCTTTAAAATTGTAAATTTTGAGAGAGGACAGTTTAAGATATCCAGCAGACTACCTGTGCTGTAAGGGACTTTATAACTTCCTTCGCAGCTTTACACTTTGCAGCTTCCTCAGCAGCTAGTGCAGCAGCTTCCTGAGCTTTCTTTGCCGATTGTTGCAATTCCATTTCTTGGAGTTCACAGCGTCGTCTCAGATTCTCAACCTAGAGAGAAAATTGCTTGTCAATTAGGAGCCAAATGATGCTTTCATCCACAAGAGATGTTCATTAAGAAAATGGAAAACATGAAAACAGTGCCATATACCCACAAAGTTAATGTAGCTTCTTCAATTTCTTGAAACCTAAAATGATCCAGGACTTTTGTAAATGACCATTTTGCTACTGGTTCGCTAAAACAGCCATTTAAAAAAAGTTGATCACTTTTGTGATAAACACTCCAGAAGATGTTTTGAGATTCCAAGTTTTTGAAGCACCAGAATGATTTATGCAAGTGTTTCAGGCAATGTTTTTGGTATCCTCCCTAAACAAAATCCCCAACATACCTGAGATTGCAACTTCTGCACTTCTTGATTTAAAAGCTCATTTGTTTTTTTAAGGCTATCGGCGATACTTTTAGAGAAAGAAAGGCCCCCCGTTGTGGGCATAGGCGTTGCTGAACGAGGAGGGCTAGGCCTTCGTGAAAATGGTGAAGCAGCCCTAGAATTTACACTAGTATGAACAGCTGATGTAATCACTGGTCTTCGAACTGCTTGACGCTGATCGATTGCAATAGGGAAAGAAATATCTTTGAAAAGATTGGGAATTTGGGAAGTTTGTATTATAGATAAGGAGTCTGACTTCTTTCCCTGCTTGGTCAGTTTGGTATCAAGAATTTTAATCAAATCCCCATTAATAGGCAATGGGATCTTTGCAGACTTCAATTCTGACTTGTCTAACTTATCTTTATTTTCACTTGATCGCCGAGGTATTATGTTCTTTTTGTTACTACTTGAGAAAGCAGAGGCTTCTGAAACTTTGTTCAGTTTTGCATAACAAGAATCACATACACGATATGGTTTTCCAGGATTGGGAGACAACGCTGCCCTCAAAGCTTTCCTTGAACTACAGGAATGGCAATGCACCAATCCACAATTATAACAATTGTGTCTTTTACGAGTAAACCCAAAGGTCTGTCTACATGCTGAGCATTGTGATTGGTCTGAACCAGAAACCCATTTATGAATACAAATAACTGCTGTGAAATTTGAGCCACAAGAAACCATTTTAACATGCCTATCCTTCAAAGCTTCAACAAGTGTAGGGGTTTTTCTATCTTCAACATCACCATGTCCCAATCTCCCATTTGCACCTTTTCCCCATGTGTATACTTCACTCCTAGATGTGAGGACGGCCACATGGTAAGAACCACAGTCGATCTCTTCAACAGTTTCACCCGCGAGTTTATCTTCAACTAAGCAAGGTAATTTTCCATCAGATTGTGGATTACCAAGCTGACCATAAACTGTACTTCCCATTGAGAAGACATGGCCTGATGTGGTCAAGCCAACTGTGAGACTGTGCCCACAAGCCAGCTTGTGAAAATTGTACTCAATAATCGATGGCACACAAGTTGGAACCAATCGGGTTTCCTTATCTCCATGACCAAGTCGATTTTTGTCCCCATCTCCCCAAGTGAACAGTTTCCCAGATGACAAACTCGCACTAGACTGTGCCACTATAACCTCCACTATGGCAGCAGTGTGCCATACTCCACAAGCAACAGCAATTGTTCTTAAACCCTTCAAAGATTCAACCTCTCTTGGATAAGCCACGCTCTCCCTATTGCCATGACCCAAGATACCAAAGGTTCCATCACCAAATGTGAACAATCTTCCAGTTGAGGTCACCAATGCTGTATGCCAAGGGCCACAAGAAACAGATGCAACCTGTACTCCCTCAAGAGGACCTGCAACTCTCTTAGGTATCCAGTGACTGACATCAGTGCCATGCCCTAGAAGCCCCAAATTATGAGTTCCATCTCCCCATGTGTAAAGGTCACCTGTCATGGTTACCGCACAAGTGTGGTATTCACCACAAGCCACGAAATCCACGTTGCATGTTGCTAAAGATTCAACAAGTCGAGGTTGAGAGACATCGGTTCCAACTCCATGACCAAGTCGTCCCCCCGATTCCTCACCCCAAGTGAAAACCTCACCTTGCCTTGTAACTATAGCAGCATGCCTAAACCCACAACTGACATGATGGACATCTAAGACTGCATTTGATTCCAAGGGCTTAGGGAGGAGCACATCTGTTCTAGAACACAATGGATAGAAAGCTCCATCAGATGAAGGTTTTACAGGAGTATCACTAAGAACATCTCCCCAGATATAAACATCTCCCAAGGCATCACAATCATCATGGGCAGAACCCTGGCTAGAAGAGCTAGGGGCACTTGAAACACTAACTCGGAAAGTATCTAAAGTGGCTCCTTTTACTTGCATGTTTGGATTTTCTGATCCTACAACCGATCTTTCATGGTGGAGTAAACTTTCGAGAGAACAGATTCTGGTTAGAGTTTTAGTGTTGAGGCTGATAGATGCTTCTGGAGAACTTATTTCTAGGGCGGCACCAAAGGAACTGTCACTAGGGCTGCTGGGTGTGAAGTCTACACCATCCTGAAGATCCAATTACAAACCATGTCAGTCTAAGAAAGTGATGCAAGCACTAAAAAAACCTTAAATTGCAGCAGTCACAATTACAATATAGCCTTCCACAAGTAAAATATAATATGCTAGTCATGCATTTCCTATTTTCCACGAAGAACATATCTGAACCAGGTGGCGATGCCATTCCGGGAGATATCAGTTAAATTTCAATACTGTCATGATTTGATTATTTTCAGCTTGGGTCCTACTTCAGCTATATTGATGATAGTTCAATATGTCACTTGATTTTAAAGTATGAATCTAGAAATAAGTTTCCCAATCCAGAGAATTGATGAACCCCATTCGCAAGTAACCATGTGAGGTAAGGACACTCACAAACTCACATGCCTTTCAAAAATCTTGCACAACATTCAAAATGGCCCCATCAACCAAGGTCTCTTCCATGCTCTCTTTACAAACAACCACAAGCAAAGGTCTTTTGACAGCATGAGTACCTCACACAAAATTCACCAATTAGACACAACTCATACATGCCTCACAAAATATCTAGTCATTCTAAAACTAACACATGTTTCACAAACTCAATTACTCAACAAAATAGCCATTTGAGCTACGGCATTCACAATAACCATTAAAGCACCCAAACAATACTGATCCTATGGATCATATCATAGGTCAGCCAATTGAATTGGCCTGATGTTTGAGTTGTTTCTGTGTATCCCACCTTCTCTTTAACAATTCACATAGAGCGATGTACTCTGAAGATTCCAAGCTGCTGAATACGCATGTTGACTTTGCAAGAAAATTTAACATAAAGAAATTACACCTAATTCTGATGCAGTGCACACACACTTGCACAAAAACAACCTAAAAAGTAGCAGCAACATCCTGGGAGTTGAACTTGAGCAACCCACATACACGGCACATTTGCAGAAACTGAATACAAGGAAAATCTACTTCTACTTTGCTACGAGTAACCAAACTGGGTTGCTTCCTTCTTGTGCCATTCATTGGTAAGTAATTAATTTGAATAAACCAGAGAGTCCCAATATATAGAGTGAAGATCATGGTTTAATTTTTAAACTAGTGTCATGTATCATCGGTAATTGGCTATTTGCTTATATATTTGGGACGATGTCATTTTATTTCTTATCATGATAACTGCATGATTCCTTGAGTTTTGCACAATTTTTTATCTATTACAATTTCCTTCTCCCAAAAGCCTGTCCATAACCTTTTTTATGCAAATTCAAGACAGATAAACAAGTCAAAGTAAAGATAGGGCATGCAGAGTCCAACCAAGTAAGCAGATACTCTGTTTAGAGCAGTTGAGAACAATCAACATTCAGGAAATAAAAAAGTGACTGAAAAGAATGTGCAGGTACAGATTAAAAGCACAGCTTACGGAAAGAGCTATTGGAGAGAGAGTTAAAAAATACAAAAAATAAAAGAGCTTTAGATAAAGAGACAAAGACTATACACTGAAATAAAGTCCCCCTTCACTTCGTCCATCAATTTTTGAGCGTGAGTGTTGACCACCAGAAATCAATGCTTTAAGGCCCCCAAACCACACCTCTGCCTCAACTTTGTCCTTGCAGATCTATAATACAGTCACACAGTTTGATATTTCAAAAGAAAATTATAGGAAAGGTGTAGAACACCAATTACGTTTCGGTCTTTGATCTACTCATGCTTACCAAATCAAGAGAACGTTCACCATTGTTGTATAAAAGAGAAAAGGACAGGTAGTCCTTTTCAGGACATAAATATCTCTTGAAAATAACCTGAAAATGTTTAGAAATTGGAATAAGATAAATAAGATTATGTCCAAAGTATTTGACCCAGCAGTAAATCACAAGCAAAATAGCATTTCATAACAAAACAGCTGATCTCACAGTTCTTTGTCCAGGGATAATCTTCGTAACAGAAGCTAACTTCAACTTTCTTTCTTCACCTCTAGAATACCATATCAGAGTTGATTCGTCCTGAAAATAACACATGCACACTGGTCAACAAAACAGGGAAAAGAAAAATAAGGGAAAAAAAGAAAAGAGAGATAGAGTGAGAAGAGCTTACTAGCCAGACACCAAGAAAAGATAAATTAATAATGACATGGTACTGAATGTCTTTAGGCCAGATAACGAGCTTCTATATTCCCAGAAAATGGTGAAATATTTAATTAAACATAAGATTGTGGATAATATAAAAAAACATATTCCTTCCATGTATTGCCATTTATACACACCAAAGTTGCAATGGAAACTTTCCAGTGTGACAATTGATGCCATAGCTAAGATCATTAGAACATGGTAAACCGCCAAACTTAAGAGCAGTGAATAAAAAAACTTGTTTTCAATCAGAACTACTCTCACAACTCAACTCGAAAAATCCAGTATGCAATTTTTATAAATGAATTCTCAGAAAATGTCCAAGTTTTCATTGTTTCTTTGTCAATTTGACTCATAGATGGTGGTATTCTTAGGTCCTTAGCTGCATAAATTCCCTCTGCATGTGTCTTTCTAAAAAAAAAAAGTAAAAATAAAATAAAAAGAGTTCCTCATACGAGATTTGACACAATGTGAGTTTGCAATTTGACTCAGTGAGTCGACTCAGTTTAGGTAGTGTGACATAGACAGCTAGTTCAAAGATTTGAACAGTGCTTAAGAATATCAAGGAATAGGCAGTGTGACATAGACAGCTAGTTCAAAGATTTTAACATTGCTTAAGAATATCAAGGAAATCTAATCCTATGTTGAGGTAAATGAGGTATCTTTATTGTTAATGATAGAAATGTGCACAATTATTGTTGGTTTCCCGGTTTCTTGTGCAAGTAACTAGTTCAAAATTACTGATGTTCGCCACAGCATTACAGATTAGTCTGAAGTCCTCAAGTTTCAGGTACAGCACATTCACACTTCTTGATTTGTTTCTCATGCAAATGCAAATACTTCATACTTCATGATCTCCGTACTCCATTTTTCTATTGAGCTCAAAGAGTACATGAAATACTTCTATAATGTTTATCTGACACTGTAAATGCTTTTGTCCTTCTCATTTCATCATTCAAATGCAAGATGAAATGTAAGACTGAATATGCCATATAGCATTTACTGCACACTTGCAAGTGATGCCCTGTTTGTTGCCAGTTTTAAAGACATCCCTGAGAACTAAAGAAATGGATGAATTGTTTAGGCCACTGTTAGATTGGAGGAGGTTTATATTCCGACTAGGTTTTGATAAGAGGATGTCGGAAAGGAAGAGCTCTACGATGTTTTCAGTCATATTGAGTGTGGCACATTGTATCCCAATTGAGAGATTTTTCTTCTTCCTATTTCCTTAATTGACACTAGTATAAAAACCATTTGGCCTCATCAAATAACAAAAAATTGATTTCACTCATGAATTCTAATTTGGACATGCATCTGTGTCATGCGCAAGCATGCTAATTAAGCTAAACACAGCTACATTTCTAGAGGACACGAAGTAGGAGGTTTCTCAGTCATAAAGAGTTGAATCAATTGGGAAAGCAAAGCATAGTTCTACAGCTGTATAAAATATATGCAAATGAAATCATTGCTTGTTTTGATTGGTGGATATTGAATAAGAAACCAAGTAGATAGAGAACATACATTAGATATTCTGAAGGGGCAGAACTTGGGTTTCCCTTTGCGACCATATTTCAGCAATTGTGCTCCTTTCTTCAAAGCAACAATGGCCTTCACAGAAAACAAATATCAGTTGAGAGAAAAGACAAAGTGTGTATATGAATGAATAAGCAACATTAGGATTAGCTTGACCAACATACCAAGTAACTCAGAAGTCCACATACGCCTACGTGTATTCCTTCAGCCTCATATCAAATTCAATTTCTTATCACAATTTTGACAGGGTAATAGAATTTTTTTTTAACAAAGCTATGATAATAGAATTAAAATTTTCAGTTTAGGTTTGGATTTTCATGGCTGCTGTTTAGATATGAACTCCCCATGTCTGTATCGGTCGGATTAAACTTTACTCTATAGACTAAATAAACTATATATGTCAAAGAAGCTCAGAGACCTTGGTTTAGAAGTTAGGGACTGTTGTGCATCAAGAGGCAATGAGTAACTAACCAAGAGGTTAGGGACTGTTGTGCATCAAGAGGCAAACAGTAACTGACCAATACTACAAATATACTTCAGCTCTCTCTTTCTCTCTCTCTCTCTCTCTCTCTCTCTCTCTCTCTCCATTGATTAAATACTTCAGTTCTCTTCATAACAAATGATTGGCAAGAGGCATGTCTAAAGCCCAAATACATCCAGTGGGTCTCCATGCATACATTGCTCAATTTCATTCCATAGTTTGATTGGATTAAACATGGGGATTTTTCTAAACATGAGCACAGGGCAAGCTGAAGTAGCCAAAAGCAAAATCGCTATTATGACTAGATAATTTGCCATTAAAACCATTCAAGTGTTTTATCAAGAATAATAAGACTCAAAATACAAAACAAATAATAATAAGACTCAAAATACAAAACAAATAATAATAAAACTCAAAATACAAAAATAAAAAATATAAACCAAAGGGTATTGATGCTTACTTTTACAAAATATTCATCCAAGTCTCCAAACACCTAGATTCTGAAATTTGAAATTATAACATGTAAACTACTTCCTCCAGGATAAAAAAGAAGTCCATTGATAAAGATGGATGCTTCAAATGCTGAAAAGAACGTCTAGAGGTATTTTCATTCAGAGTGAGCACTTTGAGTCAAGGCCAAAACTCAAAGAAACAGATGCTATGAAACAAACTCAAATAGAAAGCAGAAGAATAAGAAGAGGGAGAGTCAAATATTGAAATTTGCAAAGCTTTCAGACTGGAAGGCCACTGGTGATTAATGCACTTGGATTTTGATGGACCCATCAAAATGCATCATGACCAGATTTCAGCTCAATTGAATAGGCACTCCCAAACCAGAACAAGCATTTCCAAATTTAATCTTCTCCATAATATATAGCATTCAGCACAATGACCAGATATATTGAAACAATCGAGACTTCCACGCCACTTAAATTCATAAACTGTCGCAAGCCAGAAAAAAAAAAAAAAATCTGCATTCTTTTTGTAGATACGGCAACAATAATAAGAATTCCAACCATTTTTGAGAAAATGCAAACAACAAACTGCATGTGAAGCTATTACCAGTTTATACCAATTCATCTAAAGAGATAAAAGGAAACAATTTAGAGAGAAAGAACCAACCTGCTCGATGTTTCGCTCAGCACCCCCATAACCAGCAGGATCTGCCATTCCATGAGAAATCCTTTCTCTCTCTAGTCCACCAACCAAGACCCAGACTTAGTCCAAGAAGCAGCAGCATCATAGATGAAACCTTCTTCTTCGGCTTACCATCAATCAATCCTCAAACCTAAACCAAATCCCCCTTCTCCAAAACTTACAGAGAAAATGAGAGAGAATAGAATATACCCAAAAATGTGGAGAGAACACACTGGAATTTGATCTACACAAAAGACTGTACCTAAAGCACCAAACCGAACAAGAAGAATCTGACTAAAAGAAGAAAACAGCTCAAAGACTTGAGACCATCCAAATCTTTCTTTATCAGGATCTACACATCCATGCCAAAACCATCCTCAAGTTTCCAGAAAGGGAAACCCTAACTCATGCTACAAAAAATGAGCTACTCGAGTTGATACCAAGCTATTCATGAACTGAAAACAGGGCTAAAAAAACCCTAGAAAATGGTTACAGTAAAGAGATATGAATTCGACGCTTACAAAGCAAAACCCGCCATTGCAACACGGGTTTTCTCTCCTGCAAATGCTCGGGATTTTACATGTCAAATAATATGAGAAAAAAAAGAGAAAAATCAGAAGGCTTAATTCTTTTCTCAAAATGCTTTGAATTCTTAATAGTTTTCATGAGAGAGAGAGAGAGAGAGAGAGAGAGAGGAGGAGGAAGGGCAGAAGATGGGTATGAACTGGATTTGAGTTCGGCCTGGCGTCCGAATAAAAGGTCAAGTAAAAAAAAAAAAAAAGAGAAAAAATAAAGAACAAAAGTAGAGAGATAGAGGCTGTAGAGCGAGAAAGAACAAAAGTAGTGAGAGAAAGAGAACGATTTTAGAGAGAGAAAGAGGGGGGTTGGGGGGGACGTTGGAGTTAGGAAGTACGCTCTGCTGAAAGCCGTCATAGAAGGGTGGTGCATGAGATTACGAAATTACCCTTACAATCCACTTTAAAAGGCGATAATGCCCTTTACCATTTTTTAGTCGGTGGTTTATTAAAATTTGTTGAAAATGACGAAAGTGCCCAAGATTCCCTCGCCTTCCTTGGCTTGTTTCGTAAACGTTGAGGGCTTCTATGATCATTTTGTAAATCTGGGTGGATTTTTAACGGTTTTGGGAGGGCATTTCTTGGAATGTAAAATTATTTTAAAGGTGGGGTCATTATAGTAATTTGTACTTGCCTGGGGACCTGGGAGAAGCAGTAAAGGGAAAGGCCAGCTTTGGGAAGACGGAGCCAATGATGCGGGTCCCCACCCGGATTGACATGGCACGAGTTTTGTGGGTCCACTTTACGTCAAATGACTAAAATATCCCTTGATTTTCGGCTTATTACATGAGAGTCAGGAATATAGGAATGTTCAAAGTCCAAAGCCTCAATTTTCATAATTCCATGGTGAGATAGAAGTGAACACACGGTCAAAGTCCAAAGTCTAACATTTACGTAATTCTAGGGAGAGAGAGAGAATCGAACATCGCCCAAGTAGTCAAGAGTTCCTTAGAAATGATAGAAAATACTAAGCCCTCAGTCCAAATTATTATTTTTTTTTTTTAAAGTTTTTTTTGTTACTAGGACGGTACCTCAAGTTTTAGGGAAGTGCCCCACTAACAAAAAAAAAATTTGAAAAAATATTAAAATTCAATATGAGGATATTTTTGGATCGAGAGGTACTTTTGAAAAAAAATTTTAAAAAAACAAGTTGACTTACTTTTTTTTGTAATTTTTACTTATAAATAGAGCATTTTGAATTTAAATTTTTTTTTTAAGGTCCGTACGTAAATCGCTCAAAAAAAAAAGAAATTGCCCTAAACATTAGCTTTAGGTCGAGCTCTAGCTCATAAACTCCCACTCATAATCGATGGGTGAGCGGTTCGGGTCTAAAGGTCCTCTGGACTTGTTTTCCACGTCGAAAACTCCAAGTAATTTGCAATTGGCTCAAAACCAGCTCAGTCGGCTCAATTTAGTTGGTAACTGGTTAGTGCCACTAGTGCAGTTCTTAAAATATTGTTTCATACTATTTGTATGTAATTTTTTGATGGTCCAACATACTTTTCCATAAAAGTTATGATCGGTCTTACGACCGCCTTATAGAATTTTCTCTTCAATTCTATTGGTATGTGGCTGTCATATAAACTCTAGATGCTCATTTCCATTTTGCCCACCAATTCCATTCCAGATGTGATATCTTCTTTGCTCTTTTATATATATATCAGTATAATGAAATGTTATATATTTCAAAATTATATATATATCAGTTTAATGAAATGTTATATATTTCAAAATTATATATATATCAGTTTAATGAAATGTTATATATTTCAAAATTGTATGAATGGTTTGAAGTGCCTCGATATTGATCTAACCATTCATTTCCAAATTGGGAGCCACATGTCTAGGAAAATATGCGTGGCTAGCTAGAAACTGTACAATCACTACGACTAGGTCTGGCATACCCAGCAAATCTCCAATTAAAATATATATTTTTTTCAAATCTTCAATTAAAATATGATTTTTTTTTCAAAAATCTCTATTTTTTTAATATATTAAGAACTTTGAGTTCTTCAAATGATATCTTAAAAATGATATCTTAAAAATCGTATTTTTATTGGAGTTTATACGAATCCATAATTTATTTTATTTTTTAAAAAATTAATTATTAAAAAAATTATTTTCTGTAACTTTATTGACCCTTTCATTCTCTTCATTGATTTTGCCGATATATTGTTATTCTCTTGACTATAAACACGACCGACTTAAAAGCCTATTTGTTGTGTTTACAAAGAGGCGAGCCTAAAAAAAGGACGTAGGTGCGAAATAGGTTCCCTAACTTGTGTTACAAAAGTAGAGTTCAACGCACAGAGGCCACACCAAACGCGGCCATATAAATCCCAGAACTTGCCAAGAGCTCTTCATTTCAGTGCTGGAATGAACAGCTTGGGCCAAGTATTCGGCCCATACCCGAGCCGAGTACTCAGCCTGAGTCTAAGTAACATGTGACGAGTTTGGCCGAGTTTTGGCAATGCCAAAAAATGTTAAAAAAATTTTAAAATCCAAAAAGATATCAAAAATATATTCAAAATAAAAGTAAATAAATTGCATCTAAATGCGATTAAAAAAGTAATGAAAAATAAATTCTGAAAATAAATTTATGATTGGGGATAATTTAAAGACAATCCAAAAAGAAAGGAAAATATAAAAATAAGTATTTGATGGCCCAAAACACTTTACCCCAAATATTTGTTAAAAATAATAGAGAATATATATATATATATATATATATATATATATAGTAGTATACGTACTAACGACACACGAA